AGATATTTTTCTATTTAAGGATAGATTCTTGGCTTAAAAGGGGGATATTAGAAAACTTGATTTTTCGGCTTACACCTGCACCACCTATGCCTAAAATGCTGAAAAAAATGAAATGAATATATCAGAGTATTCCTGATTCATGGAATGGAGGAATTTACTCCAAAGAAATGGGCAAAACTAAGGCAAGGTGAAAGATTTCCTGAGCTTTATAGCTGTTAGTAATTGGTCTTATGTGTCTTATGCCACAGAACCATTTTCAATAGTATTATGGTGCCAGTAGCATTATTTTGAGACCAACCATTCCGAGTCCTCTCAAGAAAAATGAACTGAATCGCTTAAGTGTGGATATAATGAGCTTTTTAAAAGTCAGAGATTTTTGTCATGGCTTTTCAAACTAAAAACGACAAAGTTGAAGCGTAAAGCAGGATAAATTATCAAGTTGCATTGGTTGCAGAAACACATGATAAAGCCTTGTTTAGATGAAAAAGCATTGAACGAGCTCATAGCACTTCAGCTTTCCAATGATACAGTAATCTGCCAAATTAAAGATTTAGCTGAAACATGAAGACCCAGTTAGTATATTGACTGTAGAAGTGTATTTCTGCCTCACAAATGGAAGAAAGACTAGAGGTGCCATTTTGCTTGTATTCTTCTGGTATCAGCACCAAACCAATCAATTCCTTTTTAGATAATCTTTTTATTGTAATATGTAATAGCAATATACAATCCTTTATCTTTACAATAGACAGTAGCTTTTTAGTGAATGTTTGGTGGCAAACATGAGTAGTGCCAAGATATTCAAAGTTGAATAACTTTTTTGAATTTTATGATTCATTCTGGAACAAGTGCATTGAACTTGCATTGATGATGCCAGAGCAATGCTGGGTAAAACTCCTGGTGCCTTTGTGCAAATCAAGGCAGTTGGTACCAAGCTGTTCTAGTCGTCACTGTATTCTTTACTGCCCTATGCTTTCAATGAGAAATGAGAGAAAATTGACAGTTTTACTTAAGAATGTCCCGATGAAACAGTAAAAATGACTGTCCGGATTAAATCCTGACTTCTGAGTATGCATCTCTTGGATATGCTGTATAGTGTAGGGAAGTGCCTATAAAGCCCTCTATGACATGTTTCAAAGTGTGATGGTTGTCTTCAGCTGAAGCAGCGTGTGATTGAATTGTGAGCTGAACGGGCCACTTTTCTTCATAGAAAACCATTTTTGCTTGACAGGCTGACAAACAATGAGTATTCTTACTTGGATAATTGCCGGACATATTCTAAAACATGAAGGAAGTGAGCCTGTCACTTCAAGGAAACAACTAACAGTGTTTCTTGCCAATTAATTTGTATTTACCACCATGAACTTGACAGCTTCCCCGTACTTAGGAATTTTCTGACGAGATCAGTGGTGATATTAACTCGTAGGACTTTTTAATATCATATAGTGAAGTGTGTTAATATTTGGACAATGCACATAACGTACTGAACCAATATTTTCCAAAAGGCTAATGCATGAAGGTACAAAGTCATGCAGGGCTAAAAGATCCATTTAAAGCAGTGCCAGCCCATGGGCTGTCAGGAGTCAGACTGCACAGCAGGAGGTGAGCGGCAGTGATTGAGTGAACGAATAAAGCTTCACCTGTATGTACAGCTGCTCCCCATTGCTCGCCTGAGCTCTGCCTCCTGTCAGATCAGCTGCAGCATTAGAGTCTCATAGAAGCGCAAATCCTATTGTGAACTGCACATGCCAGGGATCTAGGTTGCACACTCCTTATGAGAATCTAATTCCTGATGATCTGTTACTAGATGGGACCATCTAGTTGCAGGAAAACAACCTCAGGGCTCCCACTGATTCTAGATTATGGTGAGTTGTATAATTATTTTATTATATATTGTAATGCAATAATAATAGAAATAAAGTGCACAATAAATGGAATGTGCTTGAATCATCCCGAAACCACCCCCCTTCCTCCCAGTCTATGGAAAATTGTCTTCCACAAAACTGGTCCCTGGTGCTAAAAAGGTTGGGGACCACTGGTTTAAAGCATTAAATTAAGTTATAATTCAGCAAAGTACAAAGAGTTCATTGATAAGCTTTCAGATTCCGCATCACAACTAACCTTTAAGAAGACCGATGCATTGAGTTTTGGAGTGGTAGCAAAGATGAACTTCCAGAATTATTTGAAAAAATGAATAAAATACCATTTCCTCTTTTCACTGCTTTGATGTGTTTGGATTTTTTTTCAATTAGAGAAACAAATTGCAGAAGCAGATATGAGAATCCAGGGTTTTTTTGTATGTTTTTTTTTAATCAAAGAGAAGTATAAAGTTTAAAATAATGGCACTCCTTCCACTGAATATTTTTTGTATTGGAAAACAGGGTTTTTTTGTTTTGTTTTGTTTTGTTTTTTGAGATGTAACCTTGCTCTACCAGGCAGGAGTGGAGTGCAGAGGCACCATCTCGGCTCACTGCAACCTCCACATCCCCGGTTCAAGCAATTCTTCTATCTCAGGCTCCTGAAAATATAGTTATTTTAATGATGTTTATGTTAACGTATTTATTGTTTTTAAATGAATTAATAAAGATGTTAAACATTTATTTGTTTTGCTTTCTAACACTAAACATTAATAGATACAACCAACATAAACAGTAACGTTTTGGGATTCTCCATTTTTAAGAGTATAAAGGAGTTATATGTATAGACCATACTTTTTTGATCCATAGACCAAATATATAGACCATAATATACAGACTCTATTTTTTTGGTCTTTATATAGATATGAAATGTAGATATGAAACATAGATATATATAAAGACCAAAAAATTAGAGAACTTCTGCCTTAAGAGTATTAAGTTTAACTTGGCAGGAGCAACAAGAAAAGCTACATGCCTTGGAGGGTTGGAGGGTTTTAAAATTATTTTTGTTTATAATACCTATGTATTAAAGTGATTCTGTAATAGAGGCAGTATTGCTGCGCAGTGGTTAAGAACTAGGTTTTCTAGGGGAGTGGTGCTTGTGGTAGTACCATTGAGCACTCACCAGCTTGTGGTATATAAACAGCAAAAAATGTTAGCTACTAATAATAGTGAATTAAGAAGAACCAACTCCGCTACGAACTGTCCATGTTGTTGAACTGAACTCCACATTCATTTAACAATTTGTTGGGTGCCTCCTTCATGCTTTCCCTTTGTGGAGAAAGCGATGAATACAGTTGTACCTGTTTTATATCTTCAGGGTTTGCTCTTCCCCCGCAGCTCCCGTCTTTTCCATTTTTAAATTAAAAAAACCCTTTTTAACTGTGAGTGTTCGTTATTTTGCTTTCGGGAATTGGAATTGTCTTTCAGTCTCGAATATTCTGGGAAATGTTGTCTCTGGGCTTCCTCAATATCCCTTTGCACTTGCTGAAATAAGTGACTTTAAGAATCCAAGTTCTTACCTGGTTTCAGGTGTCAGCAGTGGCTACACTTAGCATTCCTCTAAGGTCTGCTTGAGGAAAAGCTGAGGCCTTTCCCGTAATGTAGCCCATCCTGGACACCTGCCTCATCACTTTGGGCCTGTGCAGTGAAAGCAGAGATGTGCCCACAGTGAGAAGGTTCTCTTCTGCTCACTTATTTGAGAACATTAGCCGGGGTGAAGGGCCTCAGGTGTCTTCTAGATGCTGGACACCTGGTGGGTCCAGTCACTGACCCAGAGAAGCCACCAGGCAGCTTCCGCCTGTCTTGTTTTGGAGTGCTAAAGAGCAAAACCTTCATGACCCAGAAAGGTATGAAAAGGTATGTGTTTTGAAAAGACATTATTTTCCTTTTGTTTCCTGTAATTTGGGTTTTGGTATGATTAGGGATTGTAAGAAAGCTTCTGCTACTTCTGGCATTTAACTTGGAATCACTGTCTTAAATCTACTTGAGGCACTGAGTACCTTCCTATGAGTTTATATCTTACAGGAAATGTCTCTAACTGTGGTTTACTTTTTCTCCCTTTATAATGCAAAATAGAAGATGCTTGAGGGGATGGGACACCTGAGTTGGCTTTGAAGCTCACCTGCTTTTTCTGTTGGAAGAGATCTTCCTCTTCCAGCCGGTGAGAAAGTAGAGGCCACAGGTCAGTGTGTGGTGTGTGATAAGCCAGCCGGTAGGGAGGCTGGGGGGTTTGCTGTTAGAACCAGCAAAGCAAGCTGGGCAGCTGCTCTCAAGACACGCTTGCCTGGGTGTTGGGGACAGGTTGAGGAACATGGCAGTCTCAAGCCATATGTGACTGGACCGTCTTGACCTCTGAGGCCAGGGCTGATTTCATGGTCAGCTGGTACTAAAGCTGATGAGGAGGAGGAGCTAGGCTAAATTAAATTGTGTGATCTCTGAAACAATAAGAAAATGGCTTTTCTACGTGACCCTTTCTACAGAGATGATGGAAAAACAAAAATCCTTCCCAGCTTACTAAATATTGCTACGGGCCTTTTTATCTTAACCCTCTGCTTTTCTAGGCTGGTTCATTGTAACATGTGAGTGTTAACGCAAGATTTATAGGGCACTTTGTATTTAATATTTAATCTGGGACCCATTTGTATCCTCAGATGTTGTGTGGACAAGTTGATAACAGTTGTAGTCAAGACTTAAAGCCTTTGCTAGGATCCACCGACTGTCTCTGTGGTGTGCAGGTTCTCTGTGCAGTCACCGCCTCTGTTGCATTAGATCCCAGCTGGTGTCAGCGTTGTGCAGTGTCAGTTCTGAATCTCAGTTTGGCCTTTGTTTGGCCGGACTTTGTGTGAGCAACACTTTATCCCTTTATCACAGAGCCTGGCTCATGGGAGGCCCTTGACTGGCTTCCTATTGGCGAACTCAGCAGTCTCTTTAGTTCGATTCCTGAATCTAAAAGCGTAGCTTTGCTCATTCGCTGACAATCTTAGTGCTCATTTCAGTTGAAGAGTTCGTTTCGAAGAGCTGGAGGGATAAAAGGTCACATCATTAACTCTGCTCCTTTTTTCTCACAAGGTATTTGAAAAGAAAATGCTGTTCATTCGGATGCTGAGGCAAGTGGGGCAGAGCCCGGCCTGTGGCTGTTGGACACCTGTCCTGCCGGTCCGCTTTCTGGGCATCTCCCCTCGGCAAATTCCAGCAGATGCTAACTTCCACTCTGCGTCTTTCTCTGACACAGACCATCCGCGAGTCTTAATTACAGGTGAGTTTTTCTTTTCTTTTTTCTGCTTCCATGGCTTGATTCTTTCCTGTGCCGTGTGTCTGTGCCTTTGTTTTGAGAATGTGTAATGTGCCATCCGAACCATACTGCCTGTCTCTGTAGCCGATAATGCAGCAAAAACAGGCTTGGCCTGATGGCAGAATCTGGATTTACTGTCTGTACTATGAAAAGGATTTCAGAGTGAGGTATTTTATAATACAAAGTGTTAAATTAGAGCGGCTGCTCTTGTTGATCAGACACTGCCTTTTTCACCATTGCCTTTTTTGTTTGGTTGGTTTTTAGAATTTTGCAAATCCAAATCCTTATTTCATCACTGTTCCTAGCACTTGATTTTCCCTGCCATAACTTTTATTGTTGTTCGAAGGAATCTAGGAACCTGGTGGCTAAAAGCTGCTCTGGAACTTGGTTCCCTTCCATATTAGGATCAGTCTGGGGAGTGAAGGCTAGTGCACAGGAAGGTGCCAGGGCTAGAACATTGATTCTGGTGTTAGGCACGCTGTTCCTTGGCCAGACTCCTGAACCTAAACTCAGAGTCATTCATCCCAAACTGTTATTGTGCATTTGCGTGTTGGAAATAGAGAAGGTAAGTTAGCGTCTGGCCAAGGGACTTGTTGCCGCAGCACTCACTGTTGCCCTTGAGCTCATCGTTGCCAGTGACTCGCTCCCTGAACCTCCTCACCTCAAGTATGTTTGGCCCCTGATTTTGTATCCTTCTCACTCCAGACTTTACTCTGTCACTTCCAGCCAGCCCAAGCCTACCTCCAGTTTGATGGACATGTTTTACTTCTTTCTCTTTCTTGCCAGGCTTTCTTCCCTTGGTTTTACAGCATAATCCTTCTCATTGTCGTGTGCGCGCGTGCGTGTGGGGCGTGTGCCCTTTTACTGCCTTCTCCACTTCTGATGCTGAAATAAGTTTCAAGCTTAGTAGATTTCCCTCTGTGCCTTTCTTCAGATTCACCCATCGTGTTGTCCGAGTGTTTTATTCCCTCTCGCCTCCACTAATGATGCATCTTTCAGGGTGTCCTGGTTTTATTCCCAAGTTAACAAATGCTTACAGGAAGTCCCACTTTTATATCTTCCTGCCTCATCAGTTTCTCTCAAATGAAATGGACTGTTGTCCTTTCCCGAATGTGCTCCTAGCCCACTGGCCTCCTGTTTCTATCAATGGCATGTTGAATCCTTCAAACTGGAAGCTATACTATTCATTTTAACTTTCTCAGTGGCGCCTTGTTGAGTCAGTTGTCTGTCCCTTTTCCAAATGACTTCTTGGTTTCTCCCTGCCTCTTTGCCCTTTCATATCCCAGTCCACTTCTAATGGAGGATGGGATTCTGCCTCATCCCACCAGAGGTGGATAGGAATCTGTTCATACTGGTTTTGAATGATTTTGTCACCCATAGCAGACAAGCTTCAAAGTTCATCAAAATAATGAAGGCCAGGATTGAGTTCCTGCCCCAAGAAATTCCAGACCTGTGCCTGGCTTTCATGAGATTTTCCTCTTCTTACGCCCTTGCTTCTCCTCTTTCTCAGAACCACTCCATGCTGGTGAGAGTGCTGTCTCTGAAACCAATATTACCTGTATTGGTCTCTGTCCTAGCCTGGGGGAGATTATTGCATTTCTAAGTGCTGTACCACGTTCCTGGGAAGATAGGAAGTAAGCAGCAGTTATATCAGCTCAACCTAGGACTTACGTAGTTAGCTAAGACTGAAAACTAGTCTCACTCAGTTATTACGTTCTGGGAATAATTGAACTGGTTAGATTTGCATTAAAGCTTCACTTTTTTTTTCTTCTTCATCTAGGGGGTCTTGGCCAGCTGGGAGTGGGGCTTGCTAATCTTTTGAGGTAAGAGCCCTAAAAACTTGAAATTTAAAATCTGAGTTCTTAAGTATATGGAGCTCATCTGTGATGCCTTTTAAACGTCTTTTCTCTCCTCTTGCTCCTTACCATTGTTAAGATATATCTAAATAACTGCTATATATATAGATATATATAGATATTTATACATCTATATATAAATTATATATATAATTGTGTGTGTGTGTGTGTGTGTGTGTATATATATCTCTCTTTTTTTTTTTTTTTGAGATGGAGCCTCGCTCTGTCACCCAGGCTGAAGTGCAGTGGTGCAATTCTGGCTCCCTGCAACCTCCACCTCCTGGGTTCAAGTGATTCTCCTGCCTCAGCCTCCTGAGTAACTGGGACTACAGGCACCCACCACCACGCCTGGCTAATTTTTTGTGTTTTTGGTAGAGACGGGCTCTTGCTATGTTGCCCAGGCTGGTCTTCTAACTCCTGGCCTCAAGTGATCTGCCCACCTCACCTCCCCAAAGTGCTGGGATTACAGATGTGAGCTACCGTGCCCAGCCTAAAATACCTTTTATTTTGCCTCTGAATATCACAGACTTGTCACAGGCCCTTGACTCAGCATCTCCAGACTGGTTCTTTGCTCTCTCTCTCTCTCTCTCTTTTCCTAACTTAGGCAGTGAGACACACTTTTCCCAGCGAATCACTTTGACTTTTAGTTGTTTGGGAACCAAGGGAAGTACAGGTGCAAACTGGAAGGGAAGAGTGTGGGATTTGGAGAGAATGGGATAAGAGAATAAGAAGAGGGAGAGAAGATGAGAAGAATGATGAGGAAGAGGTAAAAACTCTCAGGGGTAATAGGAAGAAACTGGTGACAAGCGTAGGGTTACAGTCAGGCGAGAGGAGAAACAGAAGACAGAGCCGTGGGCAGGGAAATAGAGGCCTGAGTGTGAGAGAGACAAGAACAGAAGGTGTAGGAATTGAGGATGAAGAGGAAGTAGAGATTTGAGGCTGGCAGAAAATTACCGTTCTTATTTTGTAAGACTTTTCACAGGACTTGTTGCATCCTAGATGTTGCCAACTTGTGTGTGTTGATTTTCCCTTTAGGAAACGATTCGGAAAGGACAATGTGATTTTGTCTGACATCAGGAAGCCCCCCGATCATGTCTTTCACAGTGGTAAGAGATCCATAGGTCTTGCTTTTATTTTTATCTCTAATTTTCAAAGCACAAAGAGGTGGCTTATGAAATCGGTGCGTGCAACAGCTCCTAGCTGAATTTATGACTCAGAGAAGTTATTGAGGCACTGGTATTTCACTTAAAAATAAGTATTTTTAATGCTGCTGCTTGTTCAGGTGATAAAAGAGCAGAAGAGTTCTTTTGATCTTGAAGTTTTTGGAATAATATATTTTGATGTTATTTGAAATAAAAACTTTGTTTCCTGTCTTGTTGTGTTTTAACTTATTGACTCGGAGAGAATACAAACAAAAATCAAGTTCTGTACTGAAGAAAAGGAACTTTAGAAATTTGGAAAAATAAATCCTGATGTTCCAGTGTAGAATTGCTCTTAAAGTACTACACAGACACACACACACACACACACACACACACACACACACCAAAAAATCAAGCTCTTCTAGTCAGGTTTTTTACTGCTTCAAAAATGTTTTTATGACTAGGCATGGTGGCTCACACCTGTAATCCCAACAATTTGGGAGGCTGAGGTGGGAGGATCACTTGAGTCCAGGAGTTCAAGACTAGCCTGGGCAATATAGTGAGACCCTGTCTCCACAAGAAATAAAAAATTAGCTTGGCATGGTGGCACATGCCTGCAGTCCTAGCTACTTGGGAGGACCGCTTGAGCCCAGGAGATGGAGGCTGCAGTGAGCCATGATTGCATCACTGCATTCCAGCCTGAGCGACAGAGCAAGACTGTCCCTGCTGCCCCAGAAATATGGTTTTGTAATGCCCCCTAGTCTTTCCTGGTTCAGCATCAGCCTTTTGCTGCTCACCATAGGGGAAGAGTGACAGTTTGCTGTAAGTGGGGAAAATTGGCACAGAACAAAATCAACTTTACCTCTGTATAATTATGATAAACTCATGATTTGTGGCTCTTCTATACCAAGGTGGTGGTGGTGTTTAATTAGTCCATTTCTCTATTCCTTTTCAAATGTGCACCTTGGAAGCAGAGTGAAGCCACTCTGCAAACAGGGCTGGGAGGAACAGCACCCACTCTGGAGCCGATGCCTAGCTGCAACCCCAATTCCTCCACTTGTTCTCTGATCCTGGCAAGTTGCTTAACCTCTCTGTGCCTGTTTCCTCCTCAGTAAAATGTGTTTACCTCCAAGGCTGTACGGGAAAGAAATGTACATAAAGTCCTTAGAACAGGGCTTGGCCCAGGCAGGTCCTATAGGAGCGTTTGCTGTCATTACCTGGGGGCTGACTGTGACTTGTGATTCTTCCGTAAGAAAAATGCTGCCTAGTGCCCAAGTGGCTTGGTTACCGCATGGCTACCAATGAAATTCACAAGTCAACGGGGGAAAGGGGAAAGGTCCATGTAGTTCACAACCCTTTTCACATTCGTGGTTTCAATTTATGTTCCTTGCAGGTCCGTTCATTTATTCTGATATCTTGGATTACAAGAATCTTCGGGAGATTGTGGTAAACAACCGCATCACCTGGCTCTTTCATTACAGCGCTTTGCTCAGCGCCATTGGAGAAGCAAATGTTTCACTGGCTAGAGCAGTGAATATAACTGGTAAGCATCTGGCTCTGGCTGGATATGTGATTTGCCAGTTTTTCCAGTTCTTTAAGAAGAGATGTTTTCAGATTCTGATAGTGTCTGTTCATTTCAGGCCTGCATAACATCCTGGATGTCGCTGCGGAACACAATCTGCGATTGTTTGTGCCTAGCACGATCGGGGCCTTTGGACCCACCTCTCCGCGGAACCCAACCCCCGATCTCTGTATTCAGAGACCCAGGACCATCTACGGGGTGTCCAAGGTCCACGCGGAGCTCATGGGAGAAGTAAGTATCACTCAGCGAGATTGCTGAATGTGCCCCGGCTGGCACAATTTGCTGTTTGCTTTCTCATTCTTTTTGTCTCCAAGGCCTGGTGATTCATCCCTGGAGGACCTTTCCCTCTTCTTGGATCTCAGCCCCAGAGTCGCTTACTTAACTCACTGGGTTTGTCATGTGGCAGGTGTGTCCAGCTCCTCAAACCTCCTCAGCCGTGTGGGAACACTCAGCACTTCCTGGGTGCCCCGTGCACAGCCCCCATCTCTTCATTTGCTGCTTGTCTTACTTGTACCCCACCATTCTTTCTGGCTCCCAGTATTGGTAGCCATTGGTAGTAACTCTAAACCTACAGAAAACTTCAAACATCTTGGGTTTTTTGTTTTTTGTTTGTTTGTTTGTTTTTTGAGACAGAGTCTTGCTCTGTCGCCCAGGCTGGAGTGTGGTGGCGTGATCTCAGCTCATAGCAGCCTCTGCCTCCTGGGTTCAAGGGATTCTCATGCCTCAGCCTCCGAAGTAGCTGGGATTATAGGCACGTGCCACCACGCCCCGCTAAATTTTATATTTTTAGTACAGGCAGTGGTTTGCCATGTTGGCCAGGCTGGTCTCAAACTTCTGACCTCAAGTGATCCACCCACTTCAGCATCCCAAAGTGCTGGGATTATAGGCATGAACTACTGCAAAATACTCTTTATCTTTATACTTTTGAGTTGCTGCCTGCTCCTCTAGCTCGGTCATAGCCACGGCCCTCTCATCTACTGTTCTCTCCTCTGCTTTTCCCCATGCCATGTGTGGGGATGTACTCAGGCTGAATCGTTTAGGACGATAATCAGTGGCACCTTTCCAAAGAGAGGCTGGAAAGCCCTACTGTAGGCTAATGTGTTATTTACAGCATTGATGTATCACCAAAAAGTTGATTTTTTTTTTTAAAGATAAAAACTTAGGAGTCTTTATTTTCTTTAGGAGTATTGAAATATAACTGCATGGAATGAGATTTCAGAAAAGCAGATTGTTTTGCATCTATCTGATTTAAAACATCTGTGTTTGAATATGTTTTCTCTTTTTCATAGTATTATCATTACCGGTATGGGTTAGATTTCCGATGCCTGAGATATCCTGGAATCATTTCAGCTGACTCCCAGCCTGGAGGAGGAACAACTGGTTAAGTGTTTTCTATTTCTTTCATCTCTTGTATGTTAGATAGGCTTTCTAGACAGGTGCGGTAGCTCATGCCTATAATTCCAGCACTTTGGGAAGCTGAGGCAGGAGGATCACTCTAGCCAGAGACCAGCCTGGACAACACAGTAGGATCTTGTCTCTATGAAAAATAAACAAAAATTAGCCAGGCATGATAGCCCATACCTGTAGTCCCAGCTACTGGGGAACCTGAGGCAGGAGGGTCTCTTGAGCCCAGAAGGCCAAGGCTGCAGTGAGCTGAGATCGTGCCACTGCACTCCAGCCTGGGTGACAGAGTGAGACCCTGTTTCAAAAATAAAAAACAACAAAAACCACCAAAAAAAAAAAAAAAATAGACTGATTGCTAGGAGGAGTTGTCTTTGTGGTAAATGAATGTGCTATCTTTTTAGCTGTATGGCGACCAGAGTTTCTGTGTTGTCTCTCGATGTGCATTTTAAAAGCACAGTGAACCCAACTGGCTTACACTCACTAAGGGTAGCACATGCCAGTGTTGTCGGTCCAGCTCGGGATTGGCCACCCACAGTGCCAGAATAAAACGTAATATTCAAGAACAAATCTGTGACTCAGTGTAGGAAGACCCCCAGTAAGCAACAGCCTCTTGTTTCTTAACGCGCAGAGAGAGCCCTATTCAAATAGACTGTAGGCATTGTGTATGTGAAAGGAACGTAAGGACGATTATTATTTTGGACTCAAACACTCATTCTTTCATAAATCCCACGTCGGGTATCCTTTCCACATCCATGGCCCTGAGAATGGATATAGAAGATACTTGACCACATCAGAGAGATTTGGAAGGAGGTCTTACAAAGCTTCTGCTTTTTAATATGGTGCTTCTCCAAGTGTGGTCTGGGGAGCTCCGGGCATCCTCAAGACACTTTCAAGGGGTCTTGAGGGTCAAAACTCTTATCAATATAGAGACGTTACTGGCCTTTTTCACTCTCCTTTCACAAATGCATCGTGGAGTTTTCCAGAGGTGGTGTGGCTTGTAAGATAAGAATGGACTGGACACAGAAGCAGATGGGGGCTCCAGCAGACCCCTATCAAGCCAGACCCTAAAGAGACTTTTAGAATGTACCACAGACCATCCTTCTCAGTACCTTTTGTTTGTTTAGAAAATATACTCTTTTTCGTATAAAATGTTACACATATTAATATGTGATAGGCTTATTGTCATTTTAAAAGGTAATATTCTAAACAATTCTCAGTTAACTCTGTTACAGTAAATATTGATATAACCCACATTAGTCAGATTTCTTTGGGAGTTCTCAATTCTTTTTTTTTTTTTTTTTTTGAGATGGAGTCTCGCTCTGTCCCCCAGGCTGGAGTGCAGTGGCGCCATCTCAGCTCACTGCACTCTCCTGTCTCCTGGGTTCGAGTGATTCTCATGCCTCAGTCTCCCAAGTAGCAGGGATTACAGATGTGTGCCATCACACCTGCCTAATTTTTGTATTTTTAGTAGAGATGGGGTTTCACTATGTTGGACAGGCTGGTCTTGAACTCCTGATCTCAGACGATCTACCTGCCTCGGCCTCCCAAAGTGCTGGGACTACAGGTGTGAGTCACTGAGCTTGACTGGAGTTCTTAAATTTTAAGAATCCGTTATAAAAAGGCTCTGAGACTAGACCATTTGAGAACTGCTGCCTCGATCCAAGAGGCTCATTCATTGTTTTGTTATAACCCACACACGGGATTCCCTTTCAGACTATGCAGTCCAGATTTTTCATGATGCCACAAAGCATGGCAAATTCGAGTGCAACCTGGAAGCCCGCACAAGGCTGCCCATGATGTACATTGACGACTGCCTCAGGGCCACCCTGGAGGTCATGGAGGCCCCGGCCGAGTCCCTCTCCATGAGGACCTACAATGTCAGCGCCATGAGCTTCACACCCGAGGAGCTGGCCCAGGAGGTCCTCAAGCACGTGCCGGAATTCCAGATCACATACAACGTGGATGCCGTTCGGCAGGCCATAGGTTCGTACCCGCTGGCAAAGGCCTTTACTATGAGTCCCTGGAGGACATAAACCTTGGAAGGATAAGGAGAGCATAGATCTTTCCCAAGGGTCCAGACACCTTTTGGAGAAGGAGCCTAGCCCAAAGAAATTGTTGAGCCCAAGCCAGCAGAAGCTTTGATTTTGGGGAATGATTTCTAAAGTGGGTGAAATCATTCCATTCCAGATAAACAACTTGTTAGCCTTTCATCTTGTTAACAGTTTAAACATAAAGCAAGGAAAAATAGAAGCAATAGAGGTAGTATGAAAACAGCCCCAGGTTTTCAAATACTGTAACTTTGCCAATTTGTGAGTGGAAGCACCTCTTTGAGTATAAAACTTCTTATGAAGTTGTGTGAGATTTTAATAATGTGTGAAAATTCACAGTGCCTGACAAAAGATGGGTTAATAGTCTTTGGCCCTAAGAGGGTGACTGTGCATAATAGCGGTTCTGCTTTACTTGAAGGAATTTCCTGTTTTATACTTTGTACTGTAGACCTTTATATAAAATGGTCAAGACCTTTTTGCAAATCCACAACCTGAATAACTTAAGCTACTCTTGCGTATCTTTTCCTAGCGGATAGTTGGCCGATGAAATTTGATGACAGCAATGCTCGGAAGGACTGGGGGTGGAAACACGATTTTGATCTTCCAGAGTTGGTGACTACCATGTTGAACTTTCATGGTTCTGAAACCAGAGTTGCCCAAGCCAACTGAAAGAATCTGAAAGAGGAGCTCCTGTGTCCTGGTCCACTGCCAAAGGAGAACTGTCACGACTCCAAGGTTATAGACTCCAAGGAGCCTACATTATTTGGAACTGACTAATTGGACTAAATTTTGGCAGCTCATATTGAACTGCTAGACAAAGAATGGAGTTTAACATTTAAGCATTTTCAGAATGTTGTAGGTATGGTGGGGGGACTTCTCAGTTTTTGGTGTTTGCCTGAACTTGTCTAAACACATTCCACAGAATAAGGCTTAAGTCATCATTAGTTTCCATTTCCTTAATTAGGATGAAGTGACCATTTCTGGGACGAAGGGAGTGTGTGACATTTGTATTTAATTAAATTCAATTTAAATATTCCTCCTAAGACTCGATTATTCTCTTGACTAGAGACCAAAGATTACATTTTAAGGACTTTCGAAGAGGTACTCCTGATTTAAAAGTATTCTTTACTATCCCAGCAGAACGTAAACCGTGTTTGGTATATTCATCCTGTGTCCGTCAACGTTCAAGATATTTTGACACTGCTTCAAAAATGATCACTGCTAGTTTTTCTGTAAGATGCTAGATCTGTGGGAAATGAAGAGTTTAAAGATGATGTAGCCAGCGAAGGGTAGCCCCTCTCTTATTTTGATTGCCCTCCTGTTAGTGAACTAAGTGTAATTCCCAGGAACGTAATTCCCTGACCTGGCAACGTCAGCATCTAGGGAGACTGTCTAATGTACAGGTTTCTGGGCTATACCCCTTTAGATTCACTCGTTAAGTGCCAGGTACCACTGGTTGTTTGAATCCAGCTGAGGCCCACTAGTCAGACCAATTTAGACCAATGCAGTTTTCCAAAGAGCACTTACTTGTGGCATCTTTTTTTTTTTTTAGATTTTGCTGGGTTGAGCCCTCAGAAGGGCTGCTCTAAACCCTGTGATGCAATTACCATACAGATACATACAGGTTAACTTTTTAAGTGAGGCCAAATCACCAGTTTGTGATTGTATTTTATGGTAAGGAGGCATGAGTGTGTTTGGAAAATGCTTTCAATCCTGTCACTTAAAAAAATATTTCTGGTGCAATACTGTATAGATACATACAGGTTAACTTTTTTCCAGTGACCTCAGAATGTACTGCATATAAAATCTCTAGGAAGTGAAACTTCCAATTCCACAGATTAATCGTGGATATATTTGGTAACAGCTATCAAGGATGAAAAGGCATTTGTGTTACCTGCTTAGTAACAAAATGTTATGCATTTGGAGTTTTGAACTGTTACGTCAAAGCATAATAGTTGAAGTTATGAAGGCATAACTGGATTATAAAATCTATTTGACTATTAACTGGAGAACTTTTAGGTAATTGAATTGTTTAACAGTTACATTATTATAGCTTTTTCATCCACTAATATACTTAGGTTTATGTTTGTAGATTTTATTTTTCTTTTGGGCTACTCTTGAGAGGCAGGAAGATCTTATTTTTAAAACCAGTTAGTAATGAATTCTTTTTTTGACAGTTTATTGAGATGTAGTTTACATACCATAAAATTCACTCATTTATAGTTCCGTGGTTTTCAATGTATTAAAGAGTTTTGCAACCATCACTATAATCTAATTTTAGGCCATTTCAACGCCCCAGAAAGAAGGGCATATTATATAAGCCCTTCCCACCCTAGGTAACCACTAATGTACATCTGTTCCTGGGTTTGCCTGTTCTGGGCATTTTATATAAGTGGAATGTGGTTGCCTTTTAGTGGTTTCTTTAATTAAGCAGTCCATTTTCAAGGTTCATCCATGTTTTAGCATGTATCAGTACTTCATTTTTTATTGCTAAGTAATATTTCATTGCATGGATAATACTGTTTTCTTTATCCATTCATCTATTGAGGGACATTTACTGTTTTTGCACTTTTTAAGCTATTATGAATAATGCTGCTATGAACATTTGGGTAGATAATTGAGTTTTAAAATGATTGCTTATTGTTTATAGTTTAAAAAACAGTTCTCAAGTTTGCTTAACTTACTCTCAGTTATCTTAAAGGAATAAGCAGTTCTTCCCTTTCATGAGATAAGAAGCAGCAACTTGAGCGACCTTTGTCTCCTAGACCCTAGCCTTCCAGCGTATCCACCAGGCTCCTAGGATGACCTTTAATTGGGATCCTTTGGAGGGGTTTGTTCCAAACAGCTTCCTTGAGTCTTTCCCAGTCTATAAACACACCTCTAGAGCACCTCAAATAAGAGTGAAAAACAATGAATGCCTCAGCGTCTTTGGATGATTCTTATTCACTGACATCTTTGTACTCCAAGACTAGAGTTAGTTGTCCCTTCTATCTGAACACTCAATATCTGGTGCACCTCTTGGGATCCCAGAGCCCATCAGTGTTTTCCTGTAAAACGCTTTCCTTTCTGTTGGGAGAAAGGGCTTTTTATGGTTAATTTGGAAATAACCCAAAAAGCTACTTAGAAGGAAAAGTGGGTTTAACCACAAAAATAGTTTATTTATAAATAAAAAAGAATACAAAGATTGGCTTTGTTCTGATGTTTTACACAGACTGCCTGTGGTTATTAGTTTTCTGCTCACATGTTTGTGTGTGGCATTGCTGGGAAGTGCCTTGTGTTGCTACACAAACAGCGATCCCGATGTCTGCCAGCAAGATAGATGGCCTGGAGTCCGGAACAGACTCGGTTAGTGAAAGCTACTGAGTGTTTTGGACACTTACTATGGTAGGTGGGAGATATTTAGTATTTTTTAACTCACATAGGCCAAATCACCAATTTGCGATTGTATTTTATGGTAAGGGGATGAGTGTGTTCAGAAAATGCTTTGAATTCTGTCATTTAAAAAAATGTTAACAGTTCAGACAATTTAAAAGATACATAATAAAGTTGTCTTCCCCTCCAAACCCAATCAATAACATGTTAGCAGTATAGTGTGGGACCCCGCGCAGCAGCTCACACCTGTAATCACAGTACTTTAGGAGGCCAAGGGAGGATTGCTTAAAGCCAGGAGTTCGAGAGCAGCCTGGACAACATAGCAAGACTCCCATCTCTACAAAAGTAGTTTAAGTCAGATGTGGTGACACATACCTGTAGCAGCTACTCACATGGTTGAAGCTGGAGGATCACTTGTAGCCAGGAGTTTGAGGCTGCAGTGAGCTATGCTTGCGCCACTGTACTCCAGCTTGAGTCACAGAGCGAGACCATCTCAAACACAACACAAAAAAATTAGTGTATTATCTTATATTTTCTTCTATGCTTATACAAGCTAGGACTGGAAGGTGAAACCTTTTTCTTTTACTCTAAAAGTAGTGTGAAGGCAATATTGTCAAAAGTTTTGGAAAAGACTCACTTGCAATTTTTGCCATGCCATATAGTAGTTGTTTGAAAATATTCTCCAGTCCTCTATGCATTACAAAGAACTTACATGTAGTTTCAGTATTTGCCATTTAAAGATAGCTGCATAACTCATTGAATGGAGTATCATAATGATGTAATTATTTCACTATTTAATTGCTGAAACCTAGAAGTACGATTAGTGGGTCACAGGACATAAACACCTACTTGCCTTTTCATTTTACATTGTCAAATTTATCTTCAGAAAGAGTTGGATTAATTTGTGATCAAATTCTCCACCATCAACACCTTCCTCTTGGTGCATATTCATGCACCTCAATACGGTTTACATTTGTTTAAAAGTTTTATTTTTGTGGCTGGGTGCAATGACTCATGCTTGTAATCCCAGCACTTTGGGAGGCTGAGGCAAGAGGCTACACTTGAAAGTTTTATTTTTCTAAAAAGTTTGAAGAACATAAACTTTATTTTTTGCTGGAGAATCTTAACATTCTAATACAACAGCTATGAATGGTGGATCCTAGATCTCACATAACCGGATGGTAACTGCCTCTAAATCAGTGAATCGCTTCCAAAAATCACCTGGGAGAAAGGAATCTTGTTTTTTAATGATTTTTTTTATGGTAGTTACTTTTTAAAAAATTGTTTCAGGGCAATGTTTTTATAGCTTTAGTATGTTTGTCTATAAGGTAGCCAAACAGGCAACCCCTTACCTTCCAATGAGAAGAGCCCAAAATCTTTTCCACCCAACTTATGCATATAATGTTTAGAATTGTAGATGAGAGGATATAATAGATGCCTTTACTATTAGTTACAGGTGTTTCAGATTTATTAATCTATTAACCAGGATATGGGCTTTCCTTCTTCACATTCGCATTTTAGGAATGTCACTCAGACTTCATATTTGACCTTGGTGCCCCCCTTTGGCATCCTGTAATAGGTTAAGAGCAGATGATCTTTTTTCTTTCTAAGTTGTTTGGGATACAGCAGTTTTGGGGTCTATGTATGATGCTGTTGGTGGACATTTATCCCAAACCACAAGTATGCCTGTGTGTAAGTAGCACTAGGGCAGCTGGTTTTCAGAATCCACAGAGCACTGCCTTCGATTTTTAACAGGCTTCTTTCCAGTGACACCAAATACTTGTAATTGTAGCTTTATAATCCTAGAGACCATGACTGTTAGTGTGCCTCCTTTACAACTTATCCTACCAGCAGCAATGTTAGCATTGCTTAAGGTTGTTTGAGGCTAATATGTTTTACACAAAACAATAACTTGTATTCTTTTCAGGTTACTGACAGCATATAGTATATCGTGAAAGACTGTAATGTTTCTAATATAAGGTGAGCGTCTCTAAGGGAATAGTTTTGGGGGACAACTCTGCCTTATTTTGGGAGTATATGTGATACCTTGTCTATTGATCCATTTGTCTGAAGTCCTTAAGAAAAGTTTTTCTTTTTTGATTTGTTAAAAGATTGTAAATTGAAAAATTATTTTGCCCAGTTCCTTCTTTACACTGTAAGTACAATTCTTCTGTACCTACACTGCTGTGAGAAGTGTAAATATAATTTGTAATTGTAGTATGAAAGAATGAACCAGAACAAGTAGCTGCCTCCAAGGATGTACTTTCCTAATTTTTTAATATTCAAGGCACCCAGAA